CGTGTGTCTAGCCTCGAGGTGTCCCAGCCCGGCCTTGCCCTTGTGTCTGTTTGCAGAGTTTGGAGAAGATTATTCAACGAGACTTCTTTCCTGATGTGGAGAAGTTGCGGGCGCAGAAGGAATATCTGGAGGCTGAAGAAAACGGTGACTTGGAGAAAATGAGACAAATTGCTATCAAGTTTGGCTCCTCCTTGGGCAGATCATCAAGGGATACACCTGCACCCTGTAAGAACTGGCTCACAGGGGCATATGTGTTTTATATCTAATATTACTGCTCTGGTTTATCAGAATTTTTGGAGGCAGTTCCTGTCTTAATGATTCAAGGTTGACATTGCCTAGGAATGACTATACCAGGTTGGGCAGTAGCCATTATCTGATGCCTAGTACTGAATTTCTCTTTGAGGGTGTGTAATAGTTTCTTCCTGAGGGGAATGGTTTTGGAAGAAACAGCCATTGAACCATTCTTCAGGGGTTGAAGGGTTCTTGCTGCATCTACAGACATGTAAGATTTTCACAGACTGGGGACGGGTGTTGTCGGAAGCTCGTGATTCTCAGAGGTTCACACAGTAGGCATCCGGTGCCTGGCTGCATCACGCCACATTCAGGTGTTACTTACACTAAAGCCCAATCCCTAGCTGTGTTCTCACAGTGTGGTTTAGGAGACGTAGCTCTCCTGTGGCAAAGAGTGTGTGTCACCACCAAGTGATCTCCCTTCCTGCACATGCTGCCCCTGGCCTAGGTTATGACTGTTACACTGCCACTTGCTTCTCTTGGCAAAAGCTGTGACAGATATATGGGACTGTGGCTCTCCTGAGAATATTTCCCAGCAGGAGAAAAATAATGTCTTAGATGACAGCAAAACTTTGTTTGGTGGTTGAGACAGAATTGAACAGAGTATTCTAGAATCTTTTCACAGCTTTTTAATTAAATTATTGTTCTTTTGGTATGACTTCTTTGATTGGCACATGATGTTTACTAGGTTGGACAATGTCCCAGCAAATATCCTGTTCCATGCTCTTCTAACCATGTGAAATTTTTTTTTCTGTTACAGATGTTACTCCAGCCACATTTGAAACCCCAGAAGTGCATCCAGGTGGCCTTCCCCTGGGGAGTAAATCCAAAGCTGGTATCAAAACTGCAGAGGAAGGTAGGAGAATGATGTTTCTCTAGCTGCATTCTTCAGCAACAGCTCTGTCTCCTGAAAAGGTTTTCAGTATTTAGTGGATGTTTAAACAGTAACCTTTAACCTTCTAGTGGGTGAAAATCATCACTCTAAAGTTGAACTTGGTGTCAAGTGTTACATCATGTGTGTGAATTCTCAATTATGGGTCTGTTTACAACTGTAAATTCTTAAGTCAGTTGATGTCTTTGAAGACAGTAAATTTTTTCCTGTGTCACCTGAAATTCTGTAAGTAAGCAAAAATTGTAGGGGTAGAGCTATTCATATAGTATATTAAAAGTACCTGCTAGCAGCTTGGCTACTTGTGTGTTTTCCCTTTAACACAAACAGCTATAAATGCCACAAAAGGTTTTATGTTAAAACCTTGAACTTTATTTTGAAGTTGGATATGTTTTCCAAAACAGAATTTTTGTACCACCCTGCATGATGTATTTTTTTCCACCAAACTTCATGTTAATGGATATCTAGAAGGCTCACTGTCAGAAGCAATTAAGAGTTGTGTATGGTGAGGAAAAGGAGGTGTTAACCTTTCTCAGGCTTCTCCCCTTCTCTCATTAGGAGAAGCGGAGAAAGATGACAAAGATGCACTTCCCAGTCTGGACAGCTTCTTAGCAAAACACACAAGTGAAGATAACGCTTCGTTTGAGCAGATCATGGAAGTGGCCAAAGAGAAGGAGAAGGTCAAGCACGCTTGGCTGTACAGTGCAGAGGAGGAGTACACCCAGGTAGGAAAATGGCTCAGCCCTATCTTTGCTCTTCCAAAGCCACACATCAGGGAAAGGAACACCACTTTACTGTATTTCTTATTTGATTAAATAGAATATTGTCTTACTTTCTGTTTTTGAATCCTGTTACAAGTAGAGATGATAATTCATTGTTCTGAGTGTTAGACTGCTGAATTGCTCACATTGTTGAGTAAGAGTAGAAGGGGTTTTGTTTTGAATAGTAGGAGCATCAGGTGATCACATCTAAATCTTGGCTAAGCTTGAGTTTCCTGGGTCCTCTTACAGTTCATTGCTTCCCTTTGCAGTCCTGTTTTTTCCCTATCTGCAACACAAGAATGTTGTCGACAGTTCCTGGGATCTCGCTCTTCCTAAAGCTTTGAGATGGAGGAGCATTGGACCAGGTGCAAGTATTGCCATTCTTGGCAGTCTTCCCTAAGCAGCAATACCAAGGAGAGCAGCTGAGAACAGTTCCTGTTGGTTGTCCATCAGCCCTTTATTATTGACAGTTAGATTGTCTTTGTGATTTCAGTTTTCTGTCTCTGTTATCAGTAGTAACAGGTGCTGTACCAGTACAGCTGACTGCTGTCTTCCTCGGCTAGTGTCGTGGGAGGCTCAGGAGCTGTTCTGGGGCTGCCTTAGCACTCTGTCTCCACCAGCAGCGAGCAGCTGGCACTGTTGCCAGATGTGGCAGTGATGGATATGAGCTGCTATGCCTTTTAATGAAGTTTGGCACTGACACATGAGTGTTTACTGCTGCTGTTGGGAGCGGGTGTTAGGTTTTTATCTTGGCTAATGTAAACCCTTGGAGTCTGTTACAATACCAATGCCCTCTGTGGCTCCTTATGTTCCTTCTTTGTGCAAATGCTTTCATCCAGAATTAAAAGGCAGGCAGCAGGAGAACATTCCCAGGGTACAGGGGTTGTTTCGGGTGAAGGTGAAGCTGCTAGAGCTGGTCTGGTGCTGATGTTGTGTGTCTTCCTGTCGGCCTGTGCTCTGTTCAGACCTTGCATTTCCTTGGAGTGCTGATGCCTGTCAGTGTAGCAAACAGCTTTGCTACGCCTCATTTAATGTGTTCAGTGACAATATTACTATTTAAGGGTGTATGGGTGATACCTATGAAAGACAACATTGGTTGATGTCTTTAGTATATAGTTTCTGGCAGCAATTGCCTAGTTTAGTTAGTGTAGGAATTTGAAAATGAATTAACTTCTCGGTGGCTGACTGCATTCTGTTGGGATTTTTTTTCTATCAGTGGTACCGGTACTGGTAACAGCATGCAGATAATTGTGTGAATGTTAAACACTTCCATGCCTGTACTGCCTGTGGAAATGTTTGAAAACTCTTGAAGTACTGAAGGAGGGTTTGTTCTTTTGTTACCTCTTCCCTGAGCTGATAGAGTTTGCACAGACTGAGATGGTACAAACACTCTTCCAAGGTCATGTGCCAAAGTCTTGTAGGCTGCCTTTATATTAGATATGTCATATGTTGCTTTCCCCTTATTTAACAATGAATGCTTAATTTGAATTTTGATTAGTAGATGGAGAAAAAAACAAAAAAAAGTTTCATCCCTCACAAGTATTGGCACAAGATTTAATCAGCAGTCATAAACATAATCTTTCTGAGGAGTTAATTCTTTAGTTCTCAGTTGATCTTATTCCATAACTGCATATGGAGTTGTTTGCAAGCTCACCTGGGAACAGGCTGGTTTCTCAAGTGCCACTTGCCAGAGAGAGTGCTTGTACCGTGGCAGGTGTGCCAGAGCAGGTAGCCAGCTCCTGACCCAGCTCTCCAACTTGGGTGTGCCTGAGTAAAAGATTGCAGGAGCCTATTTCAAACATATTTTTTTTTCCTCCCCTTTTTTTAATTTTTTTTTTTTTCCCCATTGCCCTTTCAGCGACGAAATGAGAACCTGGCCCTTCCTTCAGCAGAGCAGCAAGCTCTGGAGAATGTGAAAGCAGGGCTGGAGACCTGGGAGTATACGGCTCGAAACACCCTCATGTATTATCCGACAGGTGAGGCGCGCGGCACCCCGCAGAGCCACTGGCTCCAGGTGGGCTGACTCTGGACAGTGCTTACCATGCTTCTGCAGATGGCTGAACAGCTCTTGCTGGTAACAATGCACTTTGTCTTCTGTGAAGCTCGGATGTATAAAGTTGTTTAAAAAAGCCTTTTTTCATATCATTTTTTCCCCTGTTTTTTTCCCCCCTTTGCCTGTTCTCCTTTGCCTGTGTTTGCCAAGTTTGATCATGTTCTGTTTGTCACTGGGAAGCTCATTATCTGTATTATAGAAGCTCTTGTTTTCAGGAGCCAAAGCTCTCTCCAGTTTGGTCTGTCTTGTTTACAGGCACTTTCTCTTCATCTTTATTCATTCTTTGCTTCTGCTCAGAGGGTGTTCCTTGGACTTGGTAGTCCCTCAGTTGCTGTAGAAAGCTACATCATTTTGTAAATGCAGTTTTCTTTTTTGGCTACCAATGTACAATTGATAATTTCTGCAAACCAGTAAAGTAGAGAAGAGAAAGTCTTGTTGACTGTTTTCTTAAAAATGAAATAAGTCTGCTCTGAATGCATAGATTTCAAGTGTTACAAAGCATGTATCTAGTGCCAATTTTGGTTGACGTTGCTGGAGGTACACAATGCAAGCGCTGATGGATTCTGTGTCATGTAGGAACGTGTGGCAGGTGACATGTTGGTTGGGAACTTTAGAGCACACTGCCTAGTGTTACCCTAGCCCTTTCTTAAAAGACATTTTGCTTTTCAAGGTGTACCTGATGGGGATGACACATTTAAGAAGCCCAGGGAAGTTGTCCATCGAAACACCCGTTTTGTGAAGGACCCTTTTAGCCAGGCTGTGAGCAAATCACAGCTCCAACAAGCTGCAGCCCTCAACGCTCAGGTTGGGCAACTTTACTACTTCTGACTAAAACCTTATTAGACTCCTTGTTCATTAACCAGGAAAATTGTGTGTGTGCTAGACACAGCTGACTCACACCTTTCTCCATGATAGTGGCATTGTCTTTTTTATTTCAGTACAAACAGGGCAAAGTGGGACCAGATGGAAAAGAACTGATACCCCAAGAGTCTCCAAAAGTGAATGGATATGGATATGTAGCCACTCCCTCTCCAGCTCCTGGTAAGAAAATTTTGTTATTTTTTCTGGTCTAAGAGGACTGCTATTGCACTTAGACAAGGAGGTAAGCCTTCTGCCTTTGTATGTCTCATGAGCTGGTGACTCTCTTGTGTGCTGTGTATGCCAGCTCAGTGCAGTGCTTAAATCCTAGTGCAATACACTGGCAAGAGAAGTCCTGCTGTACCCAAGAGGCTCTAAACAAGCTGCTGTGGCATTGCCTAGGAATTATCTAGAGGGCAGTGAGCCTTCCTAGGCAAATGGGGTGCCGTGGCTGCTTTATCCCTGGGTGGTGCTTCTCTAGAGATTAAAGATAAGAATTCAAACACTTCACAAACATTAACCTTCCAATAAATTCAGGTGCTTGTTTTTCAAAATGAGGAGCGTTCATGTCTGGTAGGTTGCTGAGTGATGGTTCAGTTTGGTTTCCTTCAGAGTCTAATGTATTATTGTTTTTCTTCAGGTCTACTGCTTGCTAGGTTCTTCCCTTGTCTGAATACACTTGTATCTTATCGGTTCCTTTTGTTCAGATGTATTAGCCACAGGATGCTTTCAGCTAGAACAGACTGATAATTTTTCTTCCAGTTGGAATATGATATCTGAATTTTCAGCTGTTCTTCACCAGCTATTATGTTTTCCTGTCTTTTGTTGTTATGCTAGAAGTGAACATACTCGGGCTTTTCCCCCGGAAAGCCTGTAGGTGGCATTGGGAGCACACCTCCTTTGTCCCATGCAGATGACTTTTCCAAGCCCTGGACAGCAGGATTTTCTAGCCCGTGACTTAACCAGGCTCTTAGAATCTGTTCTGCAGCCATAGCTGTTACACAAGGTGCAGTCATTGTTTGGTACAGGCTAGCCTCAAGATGAACTAGGGGTACCCTTGGCTGTTACATGTATAAGTCCTCTGCCCATTTCCTTGCTTTTAAAGAGTTCTCTGTGCTAAAGGAGTTTCAATACTAGGGGAAGACTAGGACCACAGAGGAAAAAATGGAAGTGTCACTGAGGAAAAGCTCACCAAACAGGCAAATAAACACATGGAAAGGACAGCACTGGGGTGCTGTAACCCAGAGGGTGATGCAGCCACAGGTAGTCCTGTGGTTTAAGGTCATTCCTGTTTTAATGGGAACCACAAGTTACTGTTCAACATTGGCTGTGATATCCTCTGCAGCAGAGCAGCTCCTTTGTGTGTTGAATTTGGTGCAGTTCATGATTTGCTTCTCTGTTGTTTTTTTTTTTTTTGAAGAACAAACAGTCACATGTCTTGCATGAGAGTGAGGTTTAAAATTTGTTCTTAGGTGTGAATGAGTCTCCATTTATGACATGGGGTGAAATCGAAAGCACCCCTCTGCGTCTGGAAGGGTCAGAAACGCCCTACGTGGACAGAACACCTGGACCAGCCTTCAAGGTATTTCATGTCAGGAGTTAGCATGTCATTCTTTTGGGGAAGGGAAGGACTAAGAAGGGAAAGGCAAGTGAGTAATTAGTAGATTAACATCGTTATGAGAGTGTGACACATCTCTGGGCTGTGTTCCCAGTCCTTGAGACTAATAATTTAGGTTCTGCTTGGAGGGTGGAGGTGAACATGGCTCTACATGAAAGCTACTTGGTGGAGATACCTGAGGTGGAACACGCACTGTTGGCAGGAGAGTGAAGCTTAATATTTGATGATGGGCCCAGACAGAGAGGCTTTCAGATGCCTGATTTCTCTGATTTTAATGTATGATTGGGTAGAAACTGTAGGATTTCCATCTGTCTTGGTCTTGGCTATCACAGCCTGAGGTGAAGCGTATCACTTGAGACTAGAAAAGGCTCTGGCTCTGCAAATGGCACCTGACTCTGCATGCCACCTGCTTGTCTCCCGCTGGTGTCATTGAAGGTGAGCAGTCTGAGACTTAGTTTAATAAAGGTGCAATTTGCTGTTTGTGTCTCTGTTCTGTCAGGCTCCAAAGCCGCTGACTGGTTCTCCTGCTGTGTAGCAATGTCTGTGTTTGCCTGAGAGCTGGCTGGATACCGGCCAGGCTAGGCAGGACACAGGTGACATTGTTTGTCTAGGAGAGACAGCAGGAGGAAATGCCAGAGGTAATGGCTGCTTCCTTGACTGAACTGGTTTTACCATTTTTGTTATTGCTAAGGCAGGTTGAAGGTCTCTCTGTGTCTTCTTGCTTTTATATAGCAGCAGAGAGGTGTGGGCTGGCCCTACTTCCCCCCAGTTTAGATCCCTGTAGGCTGGAATCCCCTTGGGAAGGTGCTTTGATTCTTTATGCATCACTCATATGAGTGCCTTGGTGAGTGAACCATGTGATACATTTATAGATCCTGGAGCCTGGGCGCCGTGAGAGGTTAGGACTCAAGATGGCCAATGAAGTAGCAGCTAAGAACCGAGCAAAGAAGCAGGAGGCACTTCGAAAAGTGACGGAGAACTTGGCCAGGTGAGACTCCTGTTCTGACCCCAAAACTGGGGATAGGTGTTTTCTGGTGAAAATTTACATTGACATGTAGAAAAGGAAGACTGATAATAGTACTGGAGGCAGGAAGAGGTACGGAGAAACTGAAAGGTTTTAGAAATGAAAAAAATTAATTGCTGAGGGAAGAGGTGGCTGGTGGCTGTCCCTGATACTCCCTCTTGTCAGCATTGCTGTTCAGCCCTACAGCCACCCAGCAGTGCATCTGGATCCATGTCTGGCTGCAGTGCAAAGAGGGGATGTGATAAGGTTTGCTTGGCTGGGTGATGGGAAGGACAGAACAGGCTCGAAGGAAAGGGCAGGCAGTGCCACTCAGGTTTGGGAGGGACGTAGGAGGTTTCTTTGTCATCTCTCTCTAGAGACACTGACTGCATTTACCTGCAAGCAGAATGATGTCTGCAGCCAGTGCGTCTGGTCTGTGGGGGGACTGGATGCTGGAGCTCACCTGGGGAAGCATTGATGCTCTTCCTGTTAAATGGCATATTTTTACTGTTAAATCTTTTAAACCTGTTCGTTCTATTCCAGCCTCACTCCAAAAGGACTAAGCCCGGTGATGTCTCCAGCTTTGCAAAGACTAGTAAACAGGACTGCAAGTAAATACACCGACAAAGCGCTGCGAGCCAGCTATACTCCTTCCCCAGCCCACACGGGAACCCCGGGTTACAAGACCCCAGCAAGTGGGCCTCGTACACCTACAAGCACCCCACAGGCAAGGACAGTATCTCAGACCCCAGTCTCTCAGGATACTACATCGATCACAGACAATTTACTGCAGCTTCCTAAAAGAAGGAAGGCATCTGATTTCTTCTGAATCTTCCAGCCACCCGCAAGGCAATAGTGAGCTGGCTGTGCTCAGCCCTCTGCTAACTGGATGTTGTGAGCAATCTGCTGTAAGGGGTGTCTAGATACAGCTACCGGAATGGAAGCCAGCAGTTACAAGATCTGGGACCAGCGCTGCTCTGGACTGTATAACTAAAAATAGGCAGCAAAGTGCTTTTTGGAAGCAAAATATCTCCTGCTGTAGTGTAACTTCCCTTTGAAGTGTGCGGGTGGGATGCACAGGGCAGCTGTAGCAAAAGGATGCTTATTGCAATGGCAGGGAAGATTCTGGACTCTTGGTAAAAGGAGATAATATTTTTAAAGATATATTTCTCTTTTTAAGATGGCTGTCCATTTAAATAAGTTTCTGTATAGATACATCTATTTATAAAATGTGTTGAGCATTCCTATAAGGTTTAACTGGACTTTATTCCAGCTTGTCAAACTTCTTTGGTTTTGTACTTTGCAGAAGAGGGAGTACAACCCTGTACATATTGAGATATGACCCAGAATTTTAAAGGGCTTCTCTTTAATTTAAGAGGAGTTTAAACCTGAATGTACAATGGGCCTGTCAAGAGAGCAAGTACATTATGAAAACAGTATGCATGCAGTTGCAGACATCAGTTCACACTCCCTAATAACCTTCCCTCTTCCTTACTGAATCCAAAAGGCAGTGTTGAGGCATGTGTGAATTCTGCAGGCAACGTAGTCAGGGACTTGAGAAACGTGAGCGTAAGAGCTGTTAAATGCCAGCAGCACTGAAAGAAACTTTCCAATGTGTTTTGACAGTAACTTCTCATCCCTGCAAACTCTTATCAGGGACAGGTCTTTTGAGAGTAATATTGTTAAGCCATTCATTCACCTCAGCAGATGTACTCTGTCTTCTGTTGCCATACTTTGTAAAGGGAAAAGGGAGGACTGTTGGTGAAAGGATCCAGAGAAGCTGAATTTGAGAATCAGCAGTTCTGAGGTTGGCCCGACTTTTATTTTAAAACCAGCCATCCTTAAGAGGATCCCATTTCCATCTCTTCTGCTTCCTCTTCTGCAGAATGGGATTTGGCTTGCTGCATGTTCTCAGGCTTTCCTTCATGCAGCTTTTGGGAACACTCACCCTCTTCTGCAGCAGGCGGAAGGGAAGGGGATGTGGGTTCTGGAGTCTGCAACCATGAGTGTTTCAAAACTTCATCTATGCACAACCTCTGAGACACGTTGGGCTGGAGCAAGTGGGAAATGAGGTCCTCAAACTCTACAGTTAGGTGTTTTGTATTGGGGAAGGGAATCTTGTGTTGTTTCTGAAGACAGATCATTTTCTTGACATTGGAATCATCAAATGGCATTGAAGCACAGACCATTGTAAAGAGGATGACACCCAGGCTCCATATGTCAGAAGCCCGAGGGTCATAAGGAATGCCCTCGAGCACTTCGGGAGCTGCGTACGCAGCAGACCCGCAGAAGGTTTTACTGAGAACAATTCTTCCGTTTTCATCCCGAGACAAGGATTTCGAAAAGCCAAAGTCTGACAGCTTGATGTTGAGGTCTTCATTGAGGAGGATGTTCTCACATTTCAGGTCCCTGTGAGCAAATTCCAAGTCGTGGCAGTACTTGATGGCAGATGCCAGCTGCTGAAACTTCCTGCAGGCGATGTCCTCTTTCATAGCTCCCGAGATCCTGATGTAGTTCAGGAGGTCTCCCTTTTCTCCCATCTCCATCACGATGTACAATTTCCCATATGATGTCTCAAAAATCTCATAGGTTTTGATGATTGAGGGGTGGTGCAAACGTCTCAAAGCCTCTAGCTCCCTGGGGAGAAATCTTTCCAGGAAGTCCCGAGGGGTTTTCCTCTTGTTGATGATCTTAATGGCCATGTTGCACTTCAGCCGGTCACAGTAGGCAGATTTCACTTTTCCATAAGTCCCTTCTCCTAGCGTGTTGTTCAGGATGTAGCCTCTCTTTCGAAGCACCACAGCATCATCCATGGTGGGAGAGCTGGGGGGAGCTGCATGAGTTGGTGCTGGTGTGCATCATGTGTGGTGGCAGATGTCGTGCCCACGTGCCATGGTGGCTGCCCAGGGCTCTGGTGAGGTGGGTGGGTGGGCACCCCAGCTGTGTGATGTCACAGGCAGCCACCCATGCACAGGGCACTTAGGAGGACCTGGCAGTCCTTTTATAAAGCTACCAGGTGACATAATTCAGGGCAAAACTTAACATCAAACTGCTGAAAGACATCATTTGTGCTCTGCCTTCTTCATAAAGCAATCTATATTTAGTTTCACTAACAGGATGGAAGTAACTTCATTTTTCTTTCCTAAAATGTACCCAAGTAATTTTATATTTAGTCATCTGCGTCAGGTGAAATTGTCTGTTGTCCTTCTGTATGTCTCGTGATTTTTCAGTCTCCACTTGGGCATGCTCCCGGTGTACGGTGGCTTTGCTCCTTGTCATCCAGCTTTCCTCAAAATGGATGGGTTCCTGCTTTTCTTGTCTTCACTGAGGCTGTGTTCAAGAACTGGTGTTCTGAGGTTGTTTTTGTCCTTATAGACTTATTAGGAAGAGGAGGAGGCTTCTCTTAAGTTCACATCTTTGTTTCTCATCCAGCCTCTCCATTTTGTAGCTCTGACAATTGGCTGCTTTTGTGGGCTTTGCGGATGCCTTTTTCTTAAACCCTTCTTCAGTGAGGGAGTTATGTTTTGACTTCCAGCTTCTGGTGTTCTTGAGAAAGGCTCACACCAACATCTTCCTCAGAAGGGCTCTGAGGATTCCTGTTTTGCATGTTCATTGCTTCACTGTCATCAGCATCTGGGGCTTTTTGCTTTGTGGTGATTTCAGCTTCTTTAAGTTTGTTTTTACAGCTGCTGTGTGTGTGACTCCAAAGACTTGATGATGTTATCACAATCCAGGGGCTAGGGACAATCCTGCTTCATACACCAGCATGGATGACAGTGTCTTTCTGAAGAACAGAAGTGGTACTTCTGACAGCCACAATGGGGCTTTTGATTGTTTTTTTTCTTCCTATTCTTTGAAACTTTTGGCTAATTTTTTATAGTTAGCCAAAAGAATGAAGAGCCGTTGTAGCCATACATAGCCTGCATTCAGGGCTGTGGTTGCTCCGGTATGAGCTGACCTTCGAGTGTGGGATGAGCAACGTGTGGTTTGATCCAGCCTGGAGAAGCACTGAGCATTAGCTAGATGTCTACACTTCTTGCAGCACGCCTGAGTACAAGACAGCCAGTGTAACACTTGGCACTCTTGACATTTGCTATAATCGGGTGATGTTTTACCGGGGGAACATCCGTGGAAAATCTTACACAGCTCATTGAGCAGTGCCTGCAGCCTTCTGTAAGGTTTGTGGTGTTTGATGCTGTGTTTGTCTTGGTGGAGAGCTTCCTCCTGCAGAGTTTGCACTGCCACTTCCGAAACTCCTGTCCCTGACTGTGTAAAACTCTTCCAAGGGATTCTGTGAAGCACCTCATAAAAAATAATTTGATCAACATGGCTTTGCTAGGAATCGTAACTTCAAGAAATTAGTAACTTTTAGGTTTTTCACTTCAGAAATAGTGGAAGGCTTTTTTCTTTAAGCAAAACATTTTTTTTCTCAGGTACTCAGGAATGAATGCAAAGGGAATCCATTTACTAATGTTTCCATCTTTCAGAGACGTTCTTTAAGGACTGAACTTGCTAAATAACAATGAAATTTTAAAATTTAATTTAAAAGACTAGTTATTTCATAATCATCACATTATCTACTTATCTCCATGAAATGTAGGACCTCTCTGTTAGGGTACAGAGGCCCTGGCCTGTAGTTTGGGACACTGAACAGGCTAGGAGAAAGGAGTAGACATGATGTGAGAGCTGACTGGATGCAGCAGGTGACAGACAGCTGCTACAACACTACAGAGAGCACCCCGGGAATGGCTGAGCTTCACAGATGATTGAGGAGTAGCACAGGGACCACCTGGGGCATGGAATGCTGTGAGGTGGAGGTGACCCAGTGAGAGGTACCAGAAACCAAACTTGCCTACAGATGTGGCAAGACCAGGCCTAATGAGAAAAAGTAATTTGAGGAGGGTTATTCTGGGAGGAGATGAGGGTTAGACAAAGGGAGAAATTAGAAAATAACAAGCATGAGAATGTGGAGAGAAGTTGAGATATGGGCTGGATGTGTGGAAGCAGGCTGTGATCAGTATTTGTGTCTTAAGACTGGTGCTGGAACTGCTCTGCTGTCTTGTTAGGTGGTTCCTACCCATTGGCTGGGTGCAGGAGCTCTCTTCTGGGTATGGGTGCACATAAAGGCTGCGCAGTGTTCGAGGGACCATGTACATGTGGGTCAGAATCAGGAGGGGGCATGTGCCTTCCATGGCATTTCAAACTGATCATGGTCATGCCAAGATGCAGCTGCAACAGCAGAGGAACACAGTACGTGAGAGTGATTAGTTCTGAGTTGTGCAATTCATGCTTAAAGGCAGATTGCATTAAATACCCTGTGGGATAGTCTTGGTTTTAGTGTTTGCTCTCAAGTGAATTAACTTAGACAGACCTACTGAAATCAAGGTCTCGATTCTGCCATACTGAAGGGCCTTCATGTGTTTGCTGGGAATGTGATTTATTTTCAGTGAAATGCTGTAAAACTGGATCTCTTGAAGGGAATGTAGTGCTCTTCAGATGGGCTATTCCTGTAACACCGTCAGTAACGTCTGGTCTCTGCTTCCTGCTGCAGTTCAGCCCTTGCTATCTGTAATTAGGGAATCAGTAAACTCTTTGTTGCCAGATGTCTTTGCTGCTGTAGCACTAACAGATAATGTGCCTTACAGGGCCAAATCTAGTGTGAAAAACCATCTTGGTTCTTGATGACTTGCAACTTATTTTTTCTTTTCCTCCCGTTTTGCGGATGGTTATTTTCCTTTTGCTGTTCCTGTATATCTGCATTTTCCTATGTGCAAGGCCCAAGCACACGTCCCCCCTCAGCCCAGCTAGCACCCGGAGCTCTCCTAACGCCGCAGAGGGGTTGGCAGTGAGCAGCGGTGGCAGCGGGGCTCTCCTGGGTGTCAGGGTTGGCTGTGGTGGGTTACAGGCTGCTTGCAAGAAATTGTGGGAGCCCCGGTGGACCTGAGGCTGTGTGGTGTGACGTGGGGCTGTAACATCATCACGTGTGAGTCTGTGGGTGCTCACATGGGCAACCCAGGGCCTGACTCCCTGCTCCATGCAGAAAAGATGAGGGACTACAAGAGATTCTTGTTCTTACCTGTGGATGGGAAAGGAGGAGGGTTATGGTTGGTTTGGGGAACAGCAGGATGGAATTCTTAAAGAGAAAGTTGCAAGAGACAGTAGTGAAGAGCCAGTGAGGGATGAGTTGCTGTAACCCAGATGGAGAAGGCAGGCTCAGGTGCCTTAAAGAAGCAAAACAAGGATGACATCAGAGATGACTGTTGCTCTTTTCTTTGTGGAGTACAGGTAAGAAAATGCCGAGCAGTAGACAAGCAGCAACGTGGGGTTCGGTGAGGTAAGTGAGAAGAGAAACTCTTGCAATCACCCCACACTACTTTGAGCAAACAAGCCAGGCTGGGGAGGCTGAGGAGTGGTGGGGGCCCTGCCCTGGGGCAGGGGACTGCACTCCAGCTTAGTTCTTTTGATTCCCTGCAGGCTTTGTGAGCTGTGTCTTGTGGCAGGGAGCTGAGTCAGCAACGGGACCTCCCAAAAGCACCGAACCCCAGGCTGGTTCCCTGTGCACTTCACCTAGAGGGCCAAGAGCATTTCCCTGGGGCCAAGGCAGCCCCCCTGCCATGGGGCAGGGGCTGCAGCTTTGCACCCCCTTGAACGCAGGTTCCAGTCAGGGCTGCAGCTCTGCACTGCTTTCTGCTTCTCTGATACAGCGCAGAAGGGAAGCTGTGGTTGGAGATACTTTGTTGTTTTGGAAGACAGGGTTCTTTCTCTGCAAAAATAAAGGAAATGGATCCACTCACTCAGGGGAGTGGGAGATGGAGCAATTCCTGCTTCCTTGTATTTGCATTTGCTGCCTGATTCCCAGCTTGCCGCTGCTGGCCTCAGAGCATCCAGCTGCAATCCCCAGCTCGGAGCCAGGCCAGGGGGAGAGCCTGGTTTGGCTGCTCCCCAGTGAGCACCTTCGCTTTGCTCTCTGGGCACAGCAGATTTTCTCTGTCACTTTTTGGGCACAGGCGATCTGCACTCGTTCCCGCACGCCTTGTGCAGAGGAGCTTGCTGTGGTACCACTACCACACTCCATCCTCCCCTGGGATGCAGCCCCTGGTGCCTCCTGACTGGGGCTCGGGCTGGCACAGCCATGCAGGGAGGCTCTGCCCTGCACCTGCCCAAGCACTGGCAATCCCAGGGTGTTGGTCTCTGCCAGCGTCGCCATGCTCAGCACAGCACAGCCCAGGCAAACGGGTGCCTCCTACCCTTCACCTTTGTGCTGCTGTGTGGCCGGGCTGTTTATTGACTGTTTGCCCAAGGGTGCTGTGCAGGTTGTGGTGCTCACCTGGCACATGTGTATGCTCTGGAGTTGCCTCTGTTCAGAGCTGGTGGGGGGCTGCAGCATGAGGAGATGAGGTCTGCCTTTCCTTGGGACAAAAGACACCACTCTGTCCTCACGGTGGAGGCACCACAGGGCATTTATTTATACGTCATCATGTGTGGTACAGTGCCCAGGACCCGGATGTTGTGGGTTCAAGGTGGATAAAGAATGTCCTGGATCAGTTTGAGGCCAGCATGTATGGCTGGGTTGTAGGAAGCCAGGCTGAGAACAGCCTCTCCCCACAGCATCCCTTGGGAGGAACAAAGCTGGGGAGCTGGACACTTGTGCCTTTGTGCTGGAGGATGTTGTCATGCTCAAGGTCCCCAGGGACATTCAGATCATGACAGTATTTGGCAGCACGAGAACTGGCAAAAGAGGTTTTGGCCTGAATCTTCTGGTAGCGCCTCCTGCTTGTGACACACTCCAGTGGGTCCCCATGCACTTGTCCCC